CGTTTCTTTTTTTTATACTTCTTTGACTTTTGTTTAATGCTACCATCTGAATTTGAACTCTAATTTAACAAAAAATAAATAAAACAAAATTAATTTACTTCAAATTATATTAAAATATGTTGTAATTACTAACATTTGAAGACGAAGTAGATGAATGTCTTTTCCTCTTTTTTTTCTTTTTTAATGCACTAGATTTCTTTTTCTTTTTCTTTTTTTTCACAGTTTCTTTTTTAACTAATTCAACATTTGAAAGAGGTATAGGAGCAATTTGTAAATTATCAGTTTCATCTTCTTCAGGCAAAAGATCATACATTTTTCCAGATGAATTCTATTAAAATATATTTATTTAGACATTGTTACATCAATGTTAAATCATTTGTAATAAATAATAGATATAGCTTACTTTAAAACAATCTTTTGCTAAATGGCCACCAGTTCCACATTTTACACATTTTGTATTATAAATAGCATCTAAATGTATAGTTCGTTTGCCTTTGGAATTTGGCTGAATTTTTCTTCTCTGCTCATCTTGGCTTTGGTGAAATAATTTTAATTTTAAAACTTAAGATTTTAATACAATTAAAAATAACTCACAACATTTGAACTCCATTTGGGTCTAAATCGCGTCCACTACCTTGATCAACTAATTTCATTGATAAGGAANATCGCGTCCACTACCTTGATCAACTAATTTCATTGATAAGGAAATTTTTCCATCATCCTAAAACAAAACATAAGTGCATCATGAAAAATAAAACAAATATTAAATATTGCGATAATATTTTATCATAGTCTTCTTGTGAGCTTATACTTTTTTCAAGTAATGAAAATAATTATGCTAATCATTTAGTAAATATTAAGAGTTGGTGTATTATATGAATAGGCCATAACAAAATATATTTTAAATAATATTAAATGTAGCATAAATTTTAAATTATATTATTAACTTTTTAATAATACTTAAAAAAAATGTTTCTGTCTGACATACCATAGCAATAACTTTAGCCCATACTTTATCTCCTTTAGACAATACTTCAGTGGCATCATCAACAGGAGCTCGAGATATTTGACTACGATGTACCAAGCCTTGCTGTTTATTTCCTGGTATTCTAATGAATGCCCCATAATTTTGAACAGATACTATCTATAAGAAACAAAAAAACTTTTAAATGTTTAAAATAATCAAACTATTATAATATAAAGTATATAATATAAAAAAAAAATACTTTGATAAAATAATATATATTTGCCTTTTAGTATCACAAGAAAAAAAATTATTTTTTTGGCAATTACAGATCCATCCAAGTTTTTTTTTATTCAAATTAAAATATTCATATATGAGCAATACAAAATCATATTAATAAAATAACTTTAAAATAGCCTTTATTAATTACAAGCCATTGTAACTCATCATTATTGTACTTCATAATACAAAACTCTAGTGAATAACTATGTTTATCTAAAATCTATGATGAATATTTTTAATTTTATGAAATTTCAAACATATATGACTTTTTTAAATCTTTATCAATAAGTCATATACTCCTACAACTAATTTTTTTTAAGACCAACTAATTACTAAGTCATGTAGCTGAGGAGTCTTAATGAACTATATCCCTCTCCAATTTGTCAAATATTACATTTAACAGTATATAGCTTTAGCACTAGTATGTTACAAGCCAAAAAAAATTCCTAGCCAAACTAGTAGAAATTCAGGCTATATCACTTGCTAAAGCCTTAGAAAATGTTTATTTATATTAAAAACAGTTTTTTCATAATAATTATTTCTAAAAAAAAATGNACAAGCCAAAAAAAATTCCTAGCCAAACTAGTAAAAATTCAGGATATATCACTTGTTAAGGCCTTAGAAAATGTTTATTTATATTAAAAACAGTTTTTTCATAATAATTATTTCTAAAAAAAATGTATTCAGTATATTTCTACTAAAACAATAATAATTTTATTTTAATAAATATTATTTTTTAATGATTTAAACACTTACTTCCCCTATAAATATATCTTTTATACTTAGATCCATATCACCTAATATGAAATATATTTGATTTTGTATCAAACATTTGATAGATTGTAAATAATTTTTTTTCAGTCGTTCTCATTACTTAAAATTTATATTATGGCATACTGTTGATTTTAAATATGTTAAGCGTTGTTTACATTTTGCTATCTATTTCTTCATTATAAAAAGAGATAAATTGTATGGCCATGAAAAGTCGTGATTACAGTATTTTGATATCATTCTTTGACCATGATAAAACTGATAAGGATATTTTTTACGCAGAACTTTACTTCTATTGTTCAATCATCTTCGTTGGGTTCCTTTGTCTAATAATAATTATTAATACTTTCTTTTCATTAAGTTAATCAAATATTTAATTTAGAAAATTAATATAGATTTTTATCCTTGTATAAAAAATTAGCTTATGGTATTATTACATAAGAAATTACAAACCCATTTTACTAAATGCATTTATAAGGTAAATTAATATATTATTTGTTCATTATCAGTTATTTGTATACTTTCTAGTTGTAGTCCTAACAAATATGAATAATTTGATGTTTACTTTTATAAAATATTCAGAATTTAACTAAGTTAAAATTATTATAATTTTTTTTTTTTTTTTACTAATTTTTTAGAAATGTCTTGTCAATGGATGATAAATTGTTTGGCCGCTCTGGCCATTTGAAAAACCATAATAAACTACCTGCCATAATGACCCCAGTCAATACTATTTCTAACCATAGTGATTTTGGTTTGCCTGATGTTACAATCACATCACAATTCACATCATTAAAACTTACTCCAGACTATAATGACAGTGATGAAGAAAGTGATGATTATTCTCATAGTTTTTTACTTTTAGATGAGAAAGAAAGGCTGAAGGTATTTATCATACATTAAAAATGTCAAACAATTTTATCACTATTTTTTTATGTTAAGGTTCCTAATGTAGAGACATTTGTAAAACGACTTTATGGTTATAAAAATAACAGTCCTGTAAAAGTTATTTCAATTTTTGGTAACACTGGTGATGGGAAGTCTCATACTCTCAATCAATGTTTTTTTAAAGGTTCTGAAGTCTTTCGAACGTCTTCTGAACAAAAGGCATGTACTGTTGGTATTTGGGTTGCATTTGATCCTACACTGAATATTGTATGTTTGGATACTGAAGGCTTTTCTGGATCAGCTTTACATAATAAACAAAGAATAAGATTATTACTTAAAGTAAGTAGTATAATAATAATCTTTATTATAGAATAATATTCCAATTTACAATTTACATAACAATATTATACAAGGAGATATTATAGAAAGGTAATTTTAAATTGGCGGCCTACCTAGCTCAGTTGTTAACGCAATGACCAGTCAATTTCTTTATTAGATCATGTTCTATTTTATAAGCTAGTTAAATATGTATGTTGCCATTTAAAAAAATAAAATTGTCACCCATATAGGACATAAAGGATGAACATAAAAAATATTTTATAACAGATAATTGGAATATCATATATAACTAACAAAAGTAAAAAAAAAAATATACCATAAAATTAAAGAAATATATGCAAAAAAACTCTGCTTTTCTGCTTCAACTTGAAAAAATCGACTGCCAAATCCCATAAATTGATAGTGGAGGCTTATGGCAACCATACTTTAATGGAAATAATATGCAGATATTTTTTTTATCAATTCAAAGATCACTTTAAGATTCAATCTGAACAATAATAAGCATGAAAATTGACCTATAACTGTTGAGGATCATCAATTACAAGCTCATTTAGATGAAGATGATATCTTATCGCAAATAATAATTGCCAAGCAATTGTATGTTACTTAACTAGACATTTCCATAGATCTATGTGCCATGGGAAAAGTTCAAAAAATTATAAGATAGATAGATGGAGTGAAGCCAAGGCACAGTAAACTCTTGCTCGTTAGACACTAAAGAAGGTTGTCTGTTTTCAATTTTTGTCAATTTTATTAATTGCATAATTTAGAAATCAATAGTAAAAAATATCCATATTGTTCTCTATATCAAAGCTAAAATAATCAAGCCAATTTAATTAACTTAAATAGCTTAAAATTGATTCATAATCATCAGATTTTTAATTAAAAATTAACTCATTGAAGTATAAATAATTAGAAGATTTATGATCATCTTTTGACAATTGACTAGTATTTCTATAAAACCTATAAATAATATAATTAAGAAATACCAATTCAGAGGAATCTATATTACTTGATAACTAGGTTTCAGTAAATACAAAAACATCATCTATGGAGCTATTGATTTTACTTTTTAAATGGCCAGATTTATTATTAATGTTACGAAAATTTTGGTAATAAATTAACATATTCATCTGAGAGGGTTCATGAAGGATTGTCCACAGTAGTAAACAATCATTTTATTTATTTAATTGTAAGATTGAATTCTTTAACTCTTTTAGTATTTAATTATTTTTAATATGTTCATACTGCATAATAGTCCAATTAAATAATATTTAAACATTGAAAAATGTCAAGTTTTTTTTTAATTTGACTGAGAAAAATGTGATGTATAAACATTGAGTACATTGGTTAGTGATGGGAAAAATAACAGTAACAGTGATTTATAACAGTTACTGCTTGAGTAGCAATAACAAGATTTTACTTGGAAGAAATAGTAACAGTTACTGTTATTTTGTGTGTTTTACACAAGGTCATCAATATTCACCAGTCTTTTAACATATAAACCAATTACATCACTGTTATTTCGAAAATAACAATAACAGTTTGTAACAGTTATCAAAATTAATAACAATTTGCCATCACTAGGTTAGACCAACTTTTGTATTCGTGGTTTATTTGTATCATTAGTACTTTTTTCCAAGTTAAGAACAAGTAAAATAAGAATTGTTTACAACTATTTTAATAAAAATCAAATAATCAACCTACACATAAGTGTCGGATAACAAAAGTATATTATATGTATGATAATACAGTAATTGTTGGATATCAATAAATATTTGTATTTTAATTTTTGTAGGTTTTAGCTGTATCAGATATAGTTATTTATAAAGTCAAAGGTGAGCGGTTACAAGATGATATGTTCAATTTCCTTGGTTCAGCATCAAAGGCATACATTAAACATTTTCAAAAAGCTTTAAAATCTGTCAATTACCATTCTTCAGATCCAGTAAAGTCTTCCGATTTAACTCAAGGACCATCACTTTGTATTTTTCATGAAACAAGAAACACTGAACCTCTAATATCTTGTATGTTAATTTTTTTGTTCTATAAAACATTTAGTAACATTTCTATAATTTTAGGTAATGGTAAAAATGCTTCAGAACAGATATATGAAAGATTTCATGAGCTACAGCTTAATATAGATGGTTTTGCATCATTACGATACATTGGTATTCAAACAATTGTTCCACCTACTGATTTTGGACCAATTAGAGAAGTACTTAATGAAGAATTGTTGATCAACTCCAATAGACCTCAGCGTTCACCACATGTTGTATACCTTACATTAAAAGTAATTTAATCAAACTAATCTTTTTTATTTACATTAATTAATATGATTTTTAATTTTGTTTACAGGCACTGAACGACAAGTTTACTGGTGTTATCAAAAATTCAATTGAACCACTTTTCCCAGATCAACATTTGACTTGTCCTACAATATGTCAATCTTGTGAACAACGTTGTGCAAATAGTGTTGGCCATTTGAAAGATAACATTCCTCACTTTAGTAATTCTAAGTGCAGGTAAATATTTTCATTATTTTAGACAGTATTAAAAACTTATTTATAAGATAAAAATTTATAAGAATTTAATTTTAGATTTCAATCTCAATTTGAAAATTCTATTTATATATGTAAAGTGTGTAAAGACAATGGAAATGCCATAGAAGTTACAACAAAATATATAAATGAAAACCAAAATTCATGGCTCAAATATGCTTTTTCTGAGTAATTTTTCTTTAAAAAATGTATATATTATATAAATTTGTTATTTATTAAAATCTATTTTAGATACATTATTGAATGTCCAAAATGTGGAATTATATATCGTAGTAAACAGTATTGGTATGGTAATGATAACCCCGAAAAAACTGCAGTATATTCAGAAACGAGACATATTTGGCCAGGTGTAAGTTTTAAACTAATATTTTTAAATAATTTGGTTGTAATATTTCAGATAAACAAAAATAATTTAACATGATGAAAATGTTTCATTTATTTTTTATTTGATGTTTAAAGTAATACAGGGGTGTATATAACGTTTTGGAAAGGTTATCTAAGTTTTTCNTCAGATAAACAAAAATAATTTAATATGATGAAAATGTTTCATTTATTTTTTATTTAATGTTTAAAGTAATACAGGGGTGTATATAACGTTTTGGAAAGGTTATCTAAGTTTTTCTTCAGTAGGAAAAAAAATTAAATTATACAAATTTCACTCAAAATTGTTACACTTGTTGACTTTCTATGTTATTGCTTAGATAAATTTGCCTAAAAGTCTTCATTTTAAAAGTTCATTTGAACTTCTGTAAAATTGTGTTACTAAAAAAGGCCAAAGTAAAAACACAATTATATTATAATTCTGAATAATGTTAACATGTTGTAAAAAAATTGTATTTCATTGTTAATTCTTATTTTAAAAAATTTTCAAAATTATTAAAAATTTAAATAATTGTTAATTATTAAAAATGATAGAAGACCTCAACATGAAAAGTGATAAAATTTTCAAGTCCTAAGTATAAATATATAGATTTCAGGGGTATTGTATTAAATACCAGTATTTTGCTATTTTAATACTTTGACTGATCATAAATTAACAGGACCATTTTTTTAATACACTCCTGTAATAATATAATATTTAACTATCAATTATATATCATTCANTATTTTGCTATTTTAATACTTTGACTGATCATAAATTAACAGGACAATTTTTTTAATACACTCCTGTAATAATATAATATTTAACTATCAATTATATATCATTCAATTTGACACGGCCCGCGTCGCTTCGTTATACACGATGCCCCGCGACTCGTGCCACCTTTATCAGCCCTACTATAAGTATTTGACTGACCAACACCGCGTGTTATACGCTACGGTGCAAATTCCAGCAAATGCCGCACGGCCGACGACGACCCGCCGCAAATGGTGCGAGAGTCTTCCTCCCATTGTGAAAGCGACAACGTCGACAGCCTAACCGCACCCACGCACCGTCGCCTACAACGCTGCTAACCATTTTGCCGTCCAAGGATTACGCCGAACATCGCGTCGTCGACGCCAGCGAAAGTGCCGCGATATTATGCGAAGATTATTATTACTGTGTTTATCTTTTCGGTTTGTTTTATTTTTGTTAAAATAATCTGTTGTCGCTCATTTAATAAACGGCCCACGGGTCTCTACCCTCAAAACCAGTGTCGGCCACATTTTTGCGACGTAAGTCGTGTCAAATTATACTTCTAAGTGAGATACAATACATATATTACAAAAAGAATATTTTCATTAATTATAACATTTATATTTTTCAAGAAACTTAATATGTTAAGAATATGTTATTATTTATTTAGATGGATTTGCCTTCATCTTCAAGTATGAATCCAGCTAGGAAAGTATTAGATGGGGTAACATATTTGTCTGAAACTGTTGCAAGTGTTGGTTATGAGCCATCTCGTTTATTATCATCTTGGGTTGCTGATCAGTTTGCACCTAAATATTGGAAACCAAATTCTGAAATTAAAGTAAGGTTATTTTTTAAATAATTTTATTTTAAATTCAAGTTATCCTTAAGACAATGAATAATGTAAACAATTTTTTCATTATTATATTTAATTTCTAATTTAATCTTATTTGATTCATACATCTGTAGATTATAAATGATATTAATTTCTTAAACTTTAGGAGTGCATAATTTGTAAACTACAATTTTCATCAACATCTGTGAAACATCATTGTAGAGCTTGTGGTGAAGGAGTTTGTGATGAATGTTCTAAACATTCAATGTGTGTTCCCGATAGAGGTTGGGATACACCTGTAAGAGTATGTAACTTTTGTTATAAAAGATCTGGTTAGTATTCATTAAAATTGTATTAAATTAAACTATATATTTATCTAAGCCCTAAGAACTAGTTATAACTTAATATTATTATTTAAGGAAGCATTAGTAGTAACTGCTCAGAGTCTTCAAGTAGAGGAGAAGAAAATGTAGTAAGTGCTAGAAAATTTAGTGAAGCTTTAGTAAACACTTTATCTTCTGTGGCATCTGTTTTAGAATACCCTAAAAGTAAATAATCATTTTTTTGTATTGTTATAATATCTAAATACTAATTTTTTTATGATTATTAGATTTAATAAAAGATACTGCTAAGCCTTCATATTGGATACCAGACAATGAAGCTTTAGACTGTGTTGTTTGTAAATCTCTTTTTGGACCAGTATTGATATTGCATCATTGTCGAGAATGTGGTAATGGAGTATGTGAAAACTGTTCTAATCACAGAAAACCTGTCCCTCATAGGGGATGGCCTAACCCTGTTCGTGTTTGTGACTTATGCGTAAATAAAGACATATAAACTATAGTAAATTGATAAAATTATTATTTTTTAATTAGAAAAATATACTCTATTATGAAAGTTTTTGTGTTGGTAAAAACAATGTTTAATGTACTTAATAGTTGATTTTTTAAATTTATATAACTTAATTTTATATGAGTAATTTTATTTAAAAATATATGCACAATTGTTTTATTTTATTTGAGAGTTCATAAATATTTTAGTACATCACTAAAATAATGTTGAACTTTATAAAAAAATTCATTGTTTAAAAAAAAAATTCTGTGATAGGTAAAATTTAAGAGCTAGTCTATGTATTTTCCTTATTTGTAAGGGTTGTAGTAAAAAATATTTGTTTTTGTTATGTAATGATAGTTTTATCATATAATTACTTATTATTAATAA